CAGCGGGCAAGACGACCGGATCCATCCATCTACCGCTGGAAATGCGAAAACGAACGCGAGTGGAAAAAGCGAAGCGAAAAGAGAAACGCAATTACGGCAGAAAGCGGGCCGCGATCACGGCGCCCTCTGCACCGACGCCGACGCCGCCTCCGCTGGGACGTCGCCGCCGAGGGAGCGGCTGACCGAGGCGAGGCGGGGAGAGGGGGAGGGGTGAAATAGTCGCGTTGGGAGGGAACTAAAGGCAGAGCCTTCGGTCTGCAGGACGGGGTGGGGAACTAAAGGCGGGTCGGGAGGGTGGGGAGGGGCAGGGGAGGAAAGATGAGGTAAGACGAAATGAACAGGATGAGCGGGCAAGACACGGTGGTGAGAGTAGGAATTGGGTTATGCGGCGGGGAAGGATGGCGCGGAGAAGAGTGAGGACAAAGACGGTACAGGACAGTAGCCCAACAGGGGCAATCTTGGGACGATGTGCAGCAGAGAAGGGTAGGGAGGTGTGGGTTGAGGTAGGAAGTATGTGGCGGGATTGGGGAGGATGAGTAGAAAAGGACGGGGAGGAGTGGAGTGGGGTGAGGAAGCTCTATTAAGTAGCGTCGGCGGGTGGACAATAGGCAATGGGCCGAAATCAAGGAAATATGGCAAATGCTTAGGAACGGTGAGCAAAGGAGAGCCGGGAGGGGCGTGTATTAACATGTGAGCACGGATCGACGAGTGTTGGGGCATAGATGTTTCACGTTCTCGACGCAAGTAGAAGAGTAGCCGACGGGGACGCAGCTGCGTCAACCAAACGCAACGGGTACCGAAAGGAGCGGTGGGAGGAGGAGTGAGGCTCGGAAAGGTCGGGGAGAAGAGCGTCGGGAGCCGTCAAAGCGGCGGGCAGGGCGAGTCGGGGCGGGAGGCAGCGCATCCCGCCCCGCTGATTCAATAAGGGCGGGCCTCCCGCGCACTCGCCCTCGCCCCGCCCCGCCCCCGCGCGCAATCTCGGCCCAACGACCCGCCGGCGCATGCATTAGCGATGAGCCGCCGCGACGCGACGCGACGCGCGGGACCCGCGAAGGCTCGACACGCCGCGCCGCGCCCCGCCCCATCCCCCGCCACCGACGACGACGCCGCGTCCACTCAGGCGCCCCCCGTGCCTCGGCTCGTCTACGCCCACTTTTTTACTTCCAGGAAGAGATGTCTTGCCGGTTGCAATAGCCAGCGGTACGTTTGCAATAATGCGAAGGAGATTCCAAAACGTTATCCATTCGTATACTACGTGTGCCACATACGTGTGTAAAATATTGCTAATCTCCTGATTTTTTTAAAATTTATTTTTATTTATTTATCTTTAACTTTTGTTCATCCTTCAATTATTTATAGTTAAAATGATGGGAAGAGATTCTTGAACCCAAAAAACCCTGTGCAGATGACCTTCTCCCCCATACGTCACATAGAGTTTTTACTATTGTTTTTTTATTAAATAAATGTTAATCTTCTTAAGGGTATTTTTTGATTCGATAAAATATTCGTCGATAGTGAAAAAAAAACAACATTAATGTCAAAGATGAGTTTCAAAACTCGTTCCGTCTCAACGACAATTGGTCCCTGCAAGACTCCTTTGACTGGTCAAAGACAGGGACAGGTGAAAAAGGGCAGGCGAGCAGAGTAGACCTGCACAGAGTGGCGAGCTGAGACAAGCGAGAAAGGACAGGTGATTAGGGGCAGGCGACTAGGAACACGCAAACAGAGACGGGCGAGTAAGAAACGAAGAGGGGGAATTGCAGGGTAGGCCAGGGAAAATGAAAGTAGGGACAGGAGAGTAAAGTCAGGCATGTAGGGACAGGCGAGTTGGAACAGACGAGTAGGAACACAATAGTAGGAAAAGGAGTGCGGAGATTGGAGAGTAGGTCAGGGAAATAGGAAAGTAAGGTCAGGCGTGTAGAGACAGACGAGTAAGGGTACTGGAGAGTTCGATCAGGAGAGTTGGGACAGAAGAGTACGGACGAGTAGGGTCAGGAGAGTAAGGGCTACAGGGCTCGAGTCTGCGCCGCCGAGGGGTGCGGGCGGCCGGGCAGCCGGGCGAGCGGGAGGCGGGCGCGGCCGTAGAATCAACAAAAAGTAATTATCGCCCCGGGCGCTTTGAACATTAATTTCATTTTCGCCGCGCGCTCCCCGCCCGGCGTGGCGCGGCGTGGCGCGGTGTCTGGCGCGAGTGTGCGCGGCGCCCCACGGCCTGCCCGCGCTGCGCAAGGTCAAACACGCCGCCAGCGGGCGCCACCGTATGTGGCAGGTGGCGGGGCGGGGGGAGAGGGGCCGCGCAAACCACGCGTCCCGCGCGCGTTGATAGGCTGAGCGCACCGCGGCGGCGGAGGGGCGGCGGCGGAGGGAAGCCGGTGAAAGAATGAGGCCGCGCCGACTTTAATATCCCGAAATAAAACGAATGGGTTGTCGGGGCAGGCGGGGTGGCGCGAAAACTTTTCGATGGGTGACGTGTCGAAAGTTGGCGCGCTCTTGTTCGCGATTTCTCCGAGTCGAGCCTTGGTAGGAGATGGGCGTGGTGAATAACACGCCAGCGAATGTAACTCGCCAAATTACTGAATTTGTAAGTTTCTTCTTTAAATGACTTTGACACTCTTGTAGAATTCACAATATGCTATCAATGAGTCATTAATTTTACATTTCATATTTTGGAGACCCTTAAGTAAGAAACATTTTTACCTGTTCCAGTAACCTACATTATATTAGTAATTTCTTTCTGTAAATACAATTCTACAAGTGACCTAGAAAGCAACCACTCCTGATAACTGCCATTATTCCAACAAAATATTTTTGATAAAATATAAATAAACTAATTCCAATTCCAATACATCTCATTTAGTAACGAGGAAAATCTGTGAGGAAAGATTGTACATTATTATTTTTAGAGAAATGAAAAAACACCTAATTATTTAAGAAATAATTTTCGTATAGGATTTTAAAAAACGAAACATTCTACCCTTATGATATTGATTCCCTAGAATGTAGAACTATAAGAAGAAAAAAAGTTAAGACACATTTAAAATAACATTATGCTTCTTTAATTTTCATCTTTCAACATCGTTTATACTTTTATCTTCATTATTCCAGAACTTATAAAAGAATTGTTCATTCTTTGATTTCCCGAAAAGGTTTCCTATGTATCTATAATTGCAATACAGAATGAACGCAATACATAATTCAACCGTTATTACTTTACAAAAATGTATTTTTTGCTATAAAAGAAGTAAACAATATTAAGGCGATAAAATTACATTTTCCTGTAAAAGAAATCCCTCTAACTTTATATTTAATTTTTGCTCGTTATATGTCCAATACAAGCAATACCCAAGTCAATTAAACATGTGAATTATGTGCACAGTGATCTGTCTACTAGTAGTTGTAATTTATTAGTTGCAATTTATAGTTCCGGATCGTAGAATTTTAAATGAACAGCTCGAGGAAATAAAAAACGTTCGCACAGCCAGAACCTCATTTGTATCAACAGAATGGGAACGGCGCTTCTTTGATTCTAAATTCCATGCATCGCTAACGCGTGAATAACGCCCAGTCGCCTCAGGCGGAGGCGGAATTGATACCTTACCTCCACTTCCAACTTACTCACGCACGAGTTTATATTACTCTGCAATGGAATCCGATGTGGAGGAAACTGGCACAATTCCGAAGCCAATCCTGATACTTGTTTTGCAAACTTTTGTTACGTCAACTTTTAAAATTGTGGAGAAACGACATTTTCTAAATGGTTTATGCAAGGTATTTTAATACGAGAACAAGAATTTAAGTACAATACGACCTAAGACTATCTAAGAGAAAGTGAAGCAGAGAGAACAAAAACTCACTAAGAACACTTCTTGATGAATCTGTTTGGTGAGTTTTAGTCCTTTTTAGTGGTTAGTGTATAGTTAGTGTGTATTTAGTTCGGTTAGTGTTTAGAACTTTTAACAACTATTTAAACGCAATATTTAAATTTGGAAGAATTTAAGAGAAAATAATAGAAATAAATCTTTATAATAATAATAGGTTATTGGATATGACTTGTGATAACCGAGAGTGATGACATTTTTTTTCCTCTTCTGTAAAATTTGGTTATCTTGACTTAGGAGGTTTTATTTTCCCTGATTTCCCCATTGCTAACTTATTAGTGTTCACGTCTAGGAGGGAACCAAAGTTGAGAAGGAGTAGAAAACCCCGTAGAGGTGCCAGTGTTTACGCAATGTCACACTGGCACCTCCATAACAAAAAATCAAAAGAACCATTTTAGTAGTTTTATAAAATCGAAGGTATTAGGGTGCACACACCTTGACAGGCATTTACACTATCATAATATGCGATTTTAGTATTTAAAATACCATAAGAACATTATGACTATGCTCTAAGTAGTTCAATGACAAGCACTTTCATAAACATGAGACTACAAAGACAAAATGTTTCCTGCAAGAACGCACATGTACTCATATCCAACGACTTAAAAGCAAGCTAACGTAGATTTCGAACTTCACAAAAGCAAGGAGAATGTTGTAATAAATTAAAATCTCTTATTTAACCAGAACTCCTATAGAAAACCTAACGATTCTCAAAACGACATCAACTAATTACACTTCATGATTTCTACGAGTAAAAAGCACATCTGATTCAGTATTCAAGACATAAAATACATTTGAAGGTCTACATTTTATTTTCTTGTACAAGGGTTCAACCAAACCCTCGGGCAGACGCATATACTAGTGTCCATCAATTTTAAATGCAAATTTGAATTGCAAATTTAAAAAAAAATTCTTCTCTTTCGACCTAAGGTGTTTCGAGGGATATCAGTTTTACATGCTGACTTTTGTGGGATTTAGGCATTCCTTAACAAATTGAGGTTAAAATACTCTGGCTCACATAATCCATTTGTTTTCTTCAAGATGCTACTGAATTTTAATCTTGATTTTTTTATGGCAAATTTTCACAAAATAGCCTTTAACAGGCAACACAAGGGAACTCACCTCATTTGTGTTCCAGCGGTGACGCTGCGTTGGAAAGTGGTCTGCCTTGGGCAGACTCTCCAGATTCTCTGGCAGCTTGATGGGCTCACCGTCTGCAACAAACGGAAAAGCCTCCGGTGAATATCCACATGTAAATCCGATGGCGAAAGAAGAATACATAAAAGTCAAAATGCAAACAGAATAAATCATCGGCGTTCATGTTTAAAAATATATTACCATTAAAAGTACTCGTACATTTTCAATCAAAACATTGCACCAGACAGGATATTAGCAAAATAATGCCATCACATTAAGCATAAGAGTGTATTTGTAGTAACAATCATTCACTTCATCGGACAAGTTATCAATATTTTCACGCTGTTTTCTAGAACAATTGATATTTCAATAACAGCTGTCATTCTTTCCAATAAATATAAATGATTTGTGTTCCCACTATCATCAAAAAACAACAATGTCATACTTTTTCTCATGAATAAAATATGAACTGCTCTACATCAAAGTTGATGCAAGAATTTCGTATGCGTGTTATGAAATCGAGAACAAACTTCTTCTGCATACCTTTCCCGCTTCCAAAATGATGTAAAACTTAATTTTCAACATATGGCTAGGAGATAGATTGACCATGTAAGTAGTATTTCTTGGATCAAATTTAATGTAGCAATGTATTACAGAAAATTAATTAAGATATCAGTGGATGCCTAGGAAGAAACGTTGTAATTATTTTTCGTAAAACAACTGTATACAACCATCATTCTAAGTTTGCATGATAGAGGAACGTTATATTCACATACAATCTTAGAGTAATAAATCATTATGCAAATTTGGCACGGAATTTTAACATAAATTACAACCTCAAGAACTAAAATGCTGGATCAAAATTTAGATAAGCACATTGGCTTATGTAACTTGAATCATTTCATGTTTAGTTACATTTTAAGTTTACATTAAATTTGTAGTTATGAGATATGAACAAAAAAGGTAAAAAAGTAACGCTCGCGCGCGCACGTGTGTGTGTGTGTGTGTGTGTGTGTGTGGGCGTGTGAAACATTAAACGGCTAATCTCCACGTTTGGATTCCCCTAGGGGAGAACAGAGCAAGCATGCACCATCTCTGTGCACCCACGCTCAAATCTCAGTGATTTTACATTGAATTTATGGTCAGCAAAATGAGGGTGGAACAGATTTCCTCGAGGTTCTCTCGATTTCCTCCCTCATGTTTCATTCCACCGCTTCCTCCATTACCGTTCGTCATCGGCCACCTCTCGGCTCTCCATTTGGCCATGCGGAGCGGGCCCCGTTGGTCGTTGCCCGTCCCCTGCCTCCCGCGACCATCTCTCATCAGCGCAGGCTTCGTTAAAATGAATTACGGTACTTGCGTAACAGTTCTTAATAGGAACCGTAAAGGTATTCGTAGGTGGAAAATAAACGAAAGGAGTAATCGCAGAGGCGGAATGGCCCAATAATATTAAACTCGACGAGAAAGAGGAGAGGCAGTTTTCTCTCTGAACGACTGAACGTATCTTGCGTACAACATGGGGACTCGCCATCAGAAGAGTATATGAGACACTTTCCATTTCCCGGTTAGAACAATGACAGAGGTTAGTTTCATTCCGATATAATTCCGAAAGACACACAAATATTGATCTCTTATAACACCATTTGTACAGGAATTTCATGATTCTTCACAAGTAATGTGCATTAGCAGAAACAACAGTGCATACGACAGACTGTACCGAAGAAACCAGCTCAATTATTCAATTTAAATATTTAAAACAAATAAATTCTGTAGATTCTAGTGTCCTCATTTCACCCTCTCATGAACATAAGAATTTGCTGTCATATTCCACGGAAATATGTATGTATATTAGAGGTAGTAATAAATATTAAACAGATATAATTGCAAAATAATAATTGCAATTTTACGTTTATTTTGAAACAGGAAGCCGCAAACACATTCATGGATTTAGTCATGATTGTTTTCAAAACAAACATCTATTTCACTGCAAACTGTATCAACATTTAAACATCGACAATGCATGAAACCATTTAAAATTAAATGTTAATAGAGGGACGCGGTTTCTACCTGATATTAGTTTTTGGAATTCAATTTAGCACCCACACCTGAAACATTATCAATGAGAGAAAGTTATAAGGGCAAAAGTTAGTAACTCAGGTGCAAAAAACAAAAATAAACATGAGCAGGGAAAATCGAATATCAACAAGGTACTGACTTCCGTATTTGATATCTTATACTAACAGGTAATTAGCTTAAGTTAAGAAAACGCTGCAGAAAGAGTGTGGAATGTTTACTAACTACAGAACATTATAGTCAGCCCGAGTATCAGTGCGTAATATCCTATCCAAACATGTGAATTATGTGTGACAATAATGCAATTTTGGTCTTGAGTGCACGGTTTTGATCATTCAGAAGATTTACACTGAACTGAAAAATTTCCTTGAATTAATACTTATTCGATTTGGTGGCTTTCGATGTATTTGATATAGTACTGTGTTATTAATATGAAAGCTAAAGTGAATCTTGACAGAAATTTTAACTTCAATAGCTCATACCTTCAAAGTTATACAAATCACCCCAATACAATTCAAATAAAATGTCACTATTTTGACATCCAAGCGAAATGCAAAGCGTTAAAACATGGTGTAGACAAACTAGCAATTTTAATTTCAAAAAACAGCACCTTCAATAGCGTAACTCAAAAAAAAAAGTCAACTTGAAATTAAAAAAAGAACCCAGCGTAAATAGATACAACGCTTACGGAATGACTTTTATTTTTTCAAGAATATTTCTGAGTAGTAAAACTCGCCACAGTACTGAACTCGAGTTCACGCGAGATAGAAAGTGGAAAAAATACGGTTGCGCGGGTGGAAAGCTGCGAATCTAAGAGTTGTTGGAAAAACGAGCAGCAGTGAGGAAATAGCTCTCACGAGAGGGCAGTGATACAGAGGCGGGAAGCGATATGCGAGTAGCGCAGAGTGGCGGGGAAGGGAGAGTTTGCAAGCACAAGGGGCAGGAAAGGAAAGGGAAGAAAGAGGCGGGGAAATGCCGGTTGTGACGTGGAAAGGGGCGGGGAAACAAAATGCATGGCGAGGAATGACGGAAACAAGCGGAAAGTCAGAGCAGGGAGATGCGGGACAAGCTGGTACACGAAGGGACGAAGTAGGAAGGGGCAAGACAGAGCAGGGTGGGACTGGGGGGCGAGGCACGTGGCGTAGTGTGAGGACGGGGATGGTGGAGCAGGGTGGAGGGGAGTGGGGCGAGTTCAGGCGAGTCTGAGAGGGTTTTGGCGTTGGGATAGGCGAACACGGGTGGAGCGAAGCAGGGAAGAGTGGGGCAGTGGAGGTGGATCTGGGTAGGATGGGGGATAAAGAGGCGGGTGGAGCAGGGTTGAGGCGTAGGGGGCGCAAGAGAAGCGGACCGGAGCACAATAGGAAGGGATAGGCATGGAAGAGCACGGCGGACCAGGACGTGACTGAGCGGGGTGAGGCAGGACGGGACGATCGAGGGCAGCGGGGACGGATCAAAATAAGGAGTGATGGGGATGGGATAGGTTGGTGAGGCCAGAGTGGAGTGGAGTGGAGTGGGTCGGGCAGTGGGGCAAGTGAGAGAGAGTGGGGAAGAGCCGAGGAAGAATGGGCAGGAGTTGAGGAGGCGGGACGGAGAGGCCAACATGGGTAGGCATGCAGGCTGGGACGGGGATGACGGGCAGGCAGCACGGGTGGAGGGGGTGAGACGGGGCAGGACCGGAGCATCGCGAGCTTGGCAGTGAGGGGGTGGGATGCAGAGCGTACCCAACGCCGCCGGAAGCCGGATGGGGCCGCCAGCCTGCCGCCACAATACGCGGTTATGAGGCGGCCGGCGACGGCTGCGGCGGCGGCGGAGGCAGCGCACGGCCTCGCCCCGGGCGGAGGCGCCGCCCGAGAGCATCCGCGGCCGCGCGACGCCCCCGCGTTCCCCGCCTCCAGCCACTGGCTCTTGGGCTTCACATGCACGCAGTACCATGCGAATTTTGGGGTGAATTATGGGATTTCGGTTGCGGACTACTTACATTCCCTCAGTCGTTATTGCTTTGCTGCAATGGGGCAGCCGATGAGACAACCAATTTAAACCCGTATTACTATCCCTCATAAGATATTAAAACAACGCCTTATGTTCGGTAAATCAGAATGCCCTATCAGCCTTAATATGGTGATTCTTGTGTGCCATCAATTTTTGTAGTAGTGTATCGATGGGGAATGTGTTTTTATGGTTACTTAATCATTAGCGACAGTGAATAGCGCATGTGCATTGTGAATTGTTTATAGGAACTCAGGAGACAATATCGAAATATACTGCCTTCCTACTTCAGATTCAAATTCAGCTGATGCTGATGAGTCTACTACAACTACTACTATTGTTCCCTTCTTAGACGGTCATTTTTCTTCATTTTTATTAGTTCTCGAAATTTCTATAACAGTTTTTCCATAAGTATCGAACTTATTTGCCCATCACATGATCTCACATCAGCGTACACCCTACGCCGCACTTTATCCACCTTCATTCACCCTCGCCTCCTATTCTTTAGGTACTAGTTTGAGACTCCGGCTACTATCCCGTCCTTTCCAAACCACCAAACTCCTCAAGACACATGTTCCCCTCCTTTAACCGTGTTCCTCCTCTCGTCTTCCCGGTTCTACCCTCCGCCTTCCGCAGCCCGCCCTCCCTCATTGTCCAGCTTGTTCCTCCCCCGCAACACACGCGGGCGCCGCGCTGCCTTGCAGGGCCCACCCCACGCCAAGAGCGTGGCGAAGGAGGGGCGTCTGCTCTCCGACACGCTACACGTCTCGACATATTGCCTCGCGAAGGCGGTGGCGGCGGCGGCGGCGGCTGATCCGCGGGGGCGACGAAGCCAGCTGACGAAGCGTCTCGGGCCTGTCAGGCGCGGACGTGACACGCCCACCTCCTCCGACCCCCCCCCCCGCCGCCGCCGGCGCCAGCGGGCACGTCCGCGCCGCGATCCCCGCTCCGCTGCACACCACGCCCCGCTCCGCTCCGCTTCGCTCCGCCCCGTCCGGCTCGCTCGCTTTCGGTACGG